AAATGCCATACTTAGAGCAGTATAAAGGCATAAAAGCTTCCAAAACTTTTTAAAAAATTCACAACATAATTAAAATGAACAGTCCTTAAAGTGATGCCCATAAAATCGTGCTTCTGAGTAGAAAGCATGACTAAGCCTTATGAAAAATAAAACTTTAGTAAAAGCTCTACAAATTAATCTTATAGCTGATTAGAGCCTTTGATTTTTAAACGATTTTTTAAAGAGCTTTAACTGTTTATCTGCTACTGTTAGAAAAATGAAACTGTTAAAAAGAGTAAGGCAGTTTTGTTCAAAGGAGCTTTTACTCTTTGCCTGTACGTAAAAAGTATAAACGATCGAGTATGCAGTGGTCACCATTCATTTCATCCTATTTGTAGCGCTAAAGTCATGTTTGGTTTTTTCAATAAAAATTCCTGAAGTCGATACCAAAAACAATATTGTGCGAAACTTCTTTACTTACAAAAAACGGTTTCCAACGAAAATTTTTGAGTATGTATTTTCAAGTTAATCAAATGCTCAAAAACTTCGAATACAATTGTTAAGAAAAAAGTTTTACTGCCTTAAGAATATGTAACAAGGCGCTTTAAAAGCTCTATAATTAACTATTAGTAAACTGATTATTTTCTAACAAATTTTACTTAAATTTTATTGAAAAGCTTCAATATATGCTGTATAAAAGAAATATTAAAATTGCTTTCAAGTTAATCAAACGCTCAACAGCTTCTAGTAAAATTTTGAGACTCAAAAAAGTTCTCGACGAAAATAGGGAAAAGACTTAAAGCTTTAGGAAGCTTTAAAGTCGCAAAAAATCGACTGAGCTTTTAAAATAGTGGTGGGCACTGGCCTGCCCGCGGGCAAAGCTCTTTCAAGGTTTCCATACTAAAAGTACACAAAGCTTTTGCCTGCGGAAAAGCTGATGCCCCCACCGTTTAAAAAAGCTTTCAAGTTTTACAAGTGTCATAAACCCATATGCAAAAAAATATTAAATATTAAAGTAAAACAAATATTTTCTAGTAAACTCCACAAAGTTTTCAATAACTTAAAAGGCAAACACTTTAAAATAAGTTTCACTACAAAAATATTTCAAATGCTTTCAACTTAAACGAAGGCTCATAAGCTCACAAAAAGGTCTTCAGAGCTTTAATACGCTTTCAAATAATTCTAATGCCTTAAAAAATTACGCGACAAAGTTTTTTAAAAGCAGCATATGAAAGTTAACTGATAATTTTTCAACAAATTCTGGAAAATGTAACACGTTTTGAAGAAGAATGTTATACTACGTTCAAATTGACGAGCTAAACGTGTTAAATGGGCTTGAACCAGTTAAATGAACAAAACATGTTCATAAACAAGTTAAATCGCATGCAACTGTTATTGGAAAATTTAACCAGTTAAATCATTTAACTCGTTTGAAAACCAGTTCAGCGCAGAGTTGTATCAGAAAGCTTTCTGCTCCGACCAATCAGAAAGACCCAAAAGCTTTCATTTGACACGCCAACGTTCAAAAAATGCATGGTGGAATAATAACAAGGTGTTGTCAGTAGCGACGTGTTTGTTGTGATTTTGACAAGATCGGCATGCTTATTTTCAGTGCTGTCGATCTTAATTTTTATACTAATATTCGTTGGCAAATAGTATCTAAAATACTCCTTTTTAGTAATTCGTTTTATCGCGATATTTAAAGAACTTGGTGTTTTCGGAACAATATTAATATTTAAAATTGCTGGATTTGTATAATTTTTGTCCGCAAAAAGTAAAAAATAAAAGACATCGTGGTTATCAATGGAAAAAACGTACACAAAAATCGTATGGAAAGGCGATTTTTTATATTAAATATCTTTTGCTGCATTGTCATAATATCGAGCCAAATGGACTACTGATACACTAGAATAGAGCGGCAGCATGTTTAAATTATGATTGTGCTTATATTATCGATATTTATGTGTTTTAATCTATATGTCAGCCGCTGTGGCGTAGTGGTAAGCAGTGCGCGCTTCACTCCGCAGTACCTGGGTTCAAGCCCTGGTCAAAGCAACATCGCAAAAAATATAGAAAAAAGGTGTTTTCTTAACAGCTGTCGTCCCTCGGCAGGCAATGGCAAACCTCCGAGTGTATTACTGCCATGAAAAACAGCTTCCCATAAAAATGCAATCGCCGTTCGGAGTCGGCGTAAAACTGTAGGTCCCTCCGCTTTGTGTGACAACATCAAGGCGCACGCCACAAGTCGGAGGAGAAGCTCGGCCAAACACTAACATATGTGTAAGCGCCAATCTATTGTTATTATTATTATTATTAATCTATTTAAAAAATCATTTACAGTTTTATAGGAAATTGCCTTATTTACAATATATGTCCAAGCTGTGTGCAACTGACGATACAAACATATATTCAGGCTTATAAGCCTGTAATTAAACATTTTTCTACATTTAATTTGAAATAGTATGCACGAACGGATTAAAAGTAGTAAATAATTAGTACTTTTTCTACTACTTTAAAATGCGTGACCGGAATAGACCTGCCGAAAAAGTGAGGTTAAGTTACTGACAACACCTTGTTATTATTACACCATGCAAAAAATGTATATTCGGAAAAATATTAAAAATTAAAAATTGTCAAAAAATATCAAAATTGTATGCATGTCTGCCCGCCAAAAAAGAGGCCAAGGCGGTAATTAGTTATTTCCCATGAGGTCTCACCGTACGCAGAGATAAATAGTGCATACGAACTAAACATTTTGAAGTCTCTAATTAATCCGTATGCGTTAATATCCTGAAGCAGACATTCGCACAAAACAAATTGAAACACAGAAACTTGATTTTGAATATTTATTTTTAAATTTTTATTGGTAGTCAAACAACCGTCAAAGTTAACTCCAAATGTTCAATGTGGACGATTGTGTTTTCTAAAAAGCTCTTTTTCATTTGACAAGTTAAATGGGGCCAATTTGAACGTAATATAACTCTGCGAAAATATTAAAAAAGCTCAAAAGCTTGCATAAGTTGAAGGTATGTCATAGAAAAATATTCCATAAGATTTTTTAAAAGCTCTAAGGCTAAATAAAAAAAAAATCAAAATTATTGTTTTCTAACAAAATGGCGAGCTTTTAAGCTTCTTCAAGAAGATACTTAAAAATAAATCAGTATATGAAAGCTTGCAAATATGTTATGTTATTCAAATGTTGCCGAAAGTATACAAATGGTCTTAATAAATGCTTCAAAGATAAGCGATTAATATTTGCCAAATTTGTAAGCAAACAAGATTTTAAGTATACTTCAGTTTGAAATTTTGCAATAACTTAAAAGCTATTTTCGAGCTTGTTTTATGTGAAGTGGACTGTGTCATCGACAAATAGCTATCAAGCATACATATATACATTCTGAAATCCAAATATTCAATATTTGATATTAATTTCGCTGTGCAAAAAGAAATGACAAAAATCACTCAATAAAAGTTAAATACGAACCGCCAAACCCACAAGTCTTACCCATCCCACGAGCAAATAAATTTTTATGGCTGTTACTCATACTCAAGGGATACTCCAAATTTTGTGCCACTTGCTGCCATCATCAATATTGCCAACAATTATTATAAAAAAGGAAGCGACAGATTAAGTAAAAGAAATATGAAAAAACTAGAAGTTGAAATTGAAAGAAAAAATCGACAGCAACAGTGGCAGCAATGGGGCGCATTCACGAGCGAAACATGAAAAATGAGCGGAGTGAAGAATGATGGAATGAAAGAAAGCGACATTCAATTGATATCAAACAACTTATAACCACAAAATCAGCCAAATAACGGTTGTAAGCAGCTGTTGCGGAGAAACTGAAGCGCTTTTGCGGAAGAAAACAAAAAATTTGCGGGAGCTAGCGCCGGAAAAGGGGGCGTGAAGAGCCACAAATTCACTGATTGTTTCGTGCTGCTTAAATTTGGCAGCTAGGCGCTAGTTGCGAGGAAAAGGCGGAAGCAGTTAGAAGTCACGTCAAGGGATTATTTTCCCGCATGATAGACATACGTTGAGGAATTCATTTTTTTTTGCTTTTTTTTTTGATTTGTCGTTGCTGACGCGGGGGGCTGTGCCGCTATAAGTCGTCATTCTTTACGACAGCATGCTTTTAGCGTTTATTATCATCGATTGCTAGCTTAACCATTTATTCGAATGTAGTCTTATCGCAGTCGCTTCACGCTGCCCCTGGGCGATTATGCGGCTGCTGATTATGGTTTTGCTGGCTAAACTACATACATATGTAAATTTTTTTTTGTTTTTATTCTGCTGTCATAAAGTGATACTTTTTTAATTTTAGTAATCGCGTTGAGTCAGCAGGAAAATTTTTGAGCCCCAAAGGACTTGTAGTCGTAGACACAGTTAAGTGCTATCATGTGCAGCAGTGTTTCAAATGGACGAAAGCACGAGCTGAGCAAACATATGTACATTATTTCATATCCATACATACATGGCGTCTATGTGCATTAGGGTGCATCACTCGCCTTACAAAAAAATAAAAGTCGGTAGCTATTACTTTTCCGTCGGATTATAAAATTTATTATGTTTCAAGACCCGCGAAAATATTTCGGAAAAATAGTAGCATTTACGTAAGATGGACCGTTTTAAAATTACTTAAAAAAATCGATTTTTTTTTTTTAGAAATAAAATTATGTAGTTTATAAAAATATTTTTTTTTTTACAAAAAATCTGAAGAATTAAACTTAAAGGTCGCATAAAAATATTTAAAAATTGTATCAACGGAATCGAAAAATTAGATATTTAGTCTTAGCATATAATAAATTTTATAATTCCGGCGGAAAAACCGCAAGTCTTTTTTTTGCTGAGGCACCCTAATGTATGTATATAGTTTATTAATATTTTAGCATTTAAGTTCACTGCATTAGATATGTTCTGCCTTCCGTATTTTTTACTCTTTTTTATTGTTGTTCTTACACAAATAAAGTCGAGTGTATTAAACACGTTTTGCCCTGATGGGCACTTTTTACATTTCAGTGAACTCAGCCTGAGGCAGTGGGAGAAGAACAAACGTAGAAAGGCGTTAGCACAGAAGAGCATTGAAGATTTTATTTCGAGAAACTCAATACAGCCTGCCCACCACCTACTGCTGAATGAAATAAAAGGAAAGCAGATACAGCTATTTATATACAATTTCTTAAAGCCAAGCATCGCAGAGTCAACACAAAACATTGCGGCTGTAGGGACGGACAGCCAAGCCAGAGCGTCGTCGCACAACATTCAACTCAGTCACATTCTTTTTCACAGTCACAGTGAACGACGGAAGCGGAAGCAGATTTCAAGCGGAAGAAGCGGAGTCATCTAACGGAAGTAAGCAAAACAAGCAAGAAAAATAAACAGTAAAGTTAAAAAAAAAAAACTAACAGGTCCATAAGCTTATAGCAATGCAAGAAAACAAGTCTNAAAAAAAAATCACTGATAACTGATTGTGAGTGCAGAAAATAGGCGACGCGGAAAAAGTTTACTCGACATGCCGACGGTCAATGTAATTGAATTAAGTAGACGTCAATGACGTCAAGTACCAAGTTGCGCTACAAAAAGGTCAAGAAAAAGTACAAAGTACAAAGTAAAGCAATACGCTTGTTGAAGAACGAACAGCCGACGGACAGGCAAGGCAAAATGCGAGCCAACAAATTACAACAACGTTTGTAGGAAGTGAAAAGTATGTTGAAAAGTGCTTAAAACTTGACTACGACGACAGTGTGACGTACACGAAAATGTATAAAAATCCAAAAATTTGGCTACAACACTTTTTGGGTAAGCTGTGCTTATTTTTCGAGGATTGATTTTTTAAGCGCCTAAAAGTATGCTTCATACTATGCACAAAGTAATTGTGTGACTGCTGATGACACATTAAAGTCAAATTTTAGACGCAGAGCACTGCAAAACGCACGAAAGTATCAGAATTTGGAAAATATTTTATAGGAATGCGTGCTAGCGCCTAAAAGTATACATTAGTTTAAAAAATTCGAGTTTGGAAAAAATATACATATGCAGTTTCTGAACCCAATATCCTAGCTAAAGCAATATTTATACTACGGGTAGTTTGAAGTAATATTCCTTTTTTTTAAATCATTTTAATAAATAATGTTTTTAATAAAATTAATTTTTTAAACAAAATCCTTGCCAAGAAAGTTCTAATATGCGGTAAGAACGGTTTTAAAATAAAAGACAGCATTAAAGACGAGCTTAAACCTTTGAAAACTTTTAAACGCCTAAAGATATGCAATACTAAAATGCGGTTACGCGGTATATGGTCGAAAATTTAAACGGAAATTATCTATTTTCTTCGATAAATAGGTAATTTTTATTTCAGTAGCTTATTTTAAATATTTACCTTACATAGAGTTAAAAAATAGCTTTCAACGCCAAAAAGTATGCATCATTAATGTGATATCTTCCTTATTTAAATTTTTTTTTTCTAAAAAATGCGTTTTGTCGCCCTAAGACGCGCTGTGAACTGTGTGAAAAAATTATGTGCCAGCTGAAATTCGAGGCTTTAATTTGCATAAATCCCTTAAAATATGCAACAATGTGGTGTACTAATACACGAGTAGTATTTGAGGAGTGTAACAATTCATGGCAAACCCTACTCGTTTGTTTTCTTGGCAGGAGTAGGGGATGAAATTTTGTATGAGCGCCAGNGGTGTACTAATACACGAGTAGTATTTGAGGAGTGTAACAATTCATGGCAAGCCCTACTCGTTTGTTTTCTTGGCAGGAGTAGGGGATGAAATTTTGTATGAGCGCCAAATAGTATGCTTTGTTGACGTAAAAGTAAAATATACGAATTTTACGATGCAATCCCTGCTGCTTGTACATTTATTTCTGCGAAAAATAACTGCTCGGGAGTGTAAAAATTTAAATTTCAGATTAGCACGTGAATGTATGTATGCCTAAAAGTATTTTGTAAAATCTTGAAAATCATCTTTACTTGAGGCTCTTTACTCAACTCAGATTTTCGTAGAGTTTTATTTTAATAACAAAGCCCTTAATGCATAAAAGTATGCAAATAAATTTCATTTCTGCGCCCAACTTTAAATTTTTGCCGAAACTAAATTTTGCTGTTCTCAAGTGTACCGTAAAGTGATATCTTTGTGACGGTAGAGAAATACGTTTAGCAACAACAAACTCCTAAAGGTATGCAACAAAATATGACTTTCGCAACAAATTTGAATCAAATAAAACTTTGGAAACGAAATGCCACAAATCATGCGATTATAAGTGGAACAGTTAAAGAAACACTGCTAAACTGGCAATGCATTATTTTGGTATTAGAGCGGTAAATTCATTAAACGCCTAAAAGCAAACTACTAACATCTACAATAACCGAAAAACAACTCACATTAATTTCGAAAACTTTAATTGTTTAATTACAGCATTGAAGCAGCGGCAATTTACCCAATTACAACAACTTTGCCTACAGCAAAGTGGAAACGCAAACTAAAGTTAAGTCCGTAAGTATGCAGTGGAAAGCAAAATAAAGTAGCGCGCAAAAAAAGAGAAACCCCAAACAATTTCTGAAAGTGAATTGAAACTGAACTATGGAAACGCGCAGTAAGGACGCTTGTCAAACGGCAGCTGCCGATTCCACAACAGCAATTAATAGTGCAGCGCAGCAGAGCGAGAATTGTAGCGCAAACTCTACCACCACACAGCAACAGCTCCAACAGCAACAACGACAACAGACCGGCAGCGTCGTCCATACTCAACCCCCGCCGCCGCCCCAGCAACAACAACAGGTGAGCAGCACAAGCAGTGCGCCAAAAACGAACTCACCAACGCCACCGAACAGTGGCGGCAACAACAATAATAATAACAACAACAACAATAACAATGCAGCAAATAAAACAAAATCACAACAGCAATACCATCAATTTCGTGCGCCACAACAATTTGTGCGCCATCGTCGCACCATCGCCCCAGCCTCGTTGCTCAATAAAAAGGGCAAAACATGGAACAAACGACAGCAGCGTGGCGCAAAACAACTACACCAACAACTGCAACAGCAAATGCTACAAAGTGGTGGCGGCGGCGGCGGCGGTGGTGGTGGTGGCGCCATCATTGGCGGTGATGGGGTTACGGTAACGGCGAGCGTCACAAGCAAAGCTGACCTCGAGAATATACAGAATTTCAAGAATCATTACTATCAGCGCGGTGCAAATTCCGCTGGCGGTGGCAACGGTGCCGGTGGCGGGGGTGGTGCTTCGGGCAATGGCTTGCCACCGGCCACATTAGCCAACCTCGAGAAACTGGGTTACGGCCATGGTCATATGAAAATGCACAAAAAGCTGTTGGTGCATAGGTGAGTAAAAAGCAAGAAATGTGTGCATTTAAATGGGCGGGTAAAATGTGAAAATGTAGTAGTATTTCATACAAATGCACTTATGTATGTGGGGGAANATATGAAAATGCACAAAAAGCTGTTGGTGCATAGGTGAGTAAAAAGCAAGTAATGTGTGCATTTAAAAGGGCGGGTAAAATGTGAAAATGTAGTAGTATTTCATACAAATGCACTTATGTATGTGGGGGAGTTTTAGAACATTTTGAGGTTAGGGTGTTTGTTTTTAAAACAATTAATTTTAAATTAAATTGAACTAAATGTATTAAATTAAATTTTTTATACCATATTTTATTCAATTCAGTTTACTTTTGATTGTTTAGATGTCGTTTATTTTATTTACTTCTGGTAATTCTCAATCACATCTTTTCTCGCTTGCTCCAGGGGCTCTGGCAATCATCATCATCACGTGCTTTGCGCTGGCGCAGCACACAACACAATCGGCAGCAATTCGAATGCGAATTGTTGCCTCGTAAATGGCTGTAATGGCGGTCTCGGTGGGCATCCAAATGGCAAGGATACTTCGAATGCCAGCTCAAATAGTTCACAGTCTGGCAGCGCCATCAATTCCCTACACTACTGCTGTGCGCGGTCTAAATTCTTTCTGCCCGATAAGCGCATTCGAAAAGAGGTCATCATACCGCCCACAAAGTTCTTGCTCGGCGGCAACATTTCCGATCCGCTTAACTTGAATTCGCTACAGAATGAGAATTCGAATGCTTCGTCAAACAATAATACGCCGGCGACCACACCACGCCAGTCGCCCATCACCACGCCACCTAAAGTGGAGGTAATCATACCGCCAAATATACACGATCCGCTGCATTTGCTCGATCCCGTCGATTCAATGGAGTATGAGAAGCAGCTCACCTCGCCAATGAAGCGTGGCGGACCACGCGGCGCGCACACACATCATTACAGCGCCAAGCATCGTCATCGCAAGAACCGCAAAAGCAAGCGTCGTCGTCACGATTCATATCAGTCATCGTTGGGTAGCGCATCCATTGGCGATGTTGACACGTCCGCGCTGGGCAACAGCACAATGTCCACTGAAGCGGCCAGCGTCAGCTTAGCTTCGATTTCATTATCCACATCACATTCAGTCGCCTCAATGCTGGACAGTAGCGCCAATTTGAGTGCGTCAGCGACTGGCACACACAGCGTTGCTCTATTGGTGAGCACGTGCGAGAACGCGCCAGCTGAGTATCGGCGACAGCTGGAAGAGCGCCAGGAGGGCAATGCTCTTGTGGATTCAACAGCAAGTTTAGTTGAGGAACGTTTGGAAGCGTGGAACAGCAAGAGCACATCGCCAGTAAAACAGTTGAGCGCAAGCGAAACGGGGCCAAGTGGTGGTGGTGGTGTTGCTGGAGTGGTGGGCGCTGGCAGTGCCGGCGCGGGCGCTGTGGGAGGTGCTGCCGTGGATGTTGTTATCGCTGGCGCTGGTGCTGCTGGTTTGTTGTTGCCGCGTGAGCGCGCCAGTCGAGATTTGCGTTTGGAATTGAATTCGACAACATTGTCATCGTCGGCGCTGAGCGGCAGCACGTGCGGCAGTGTAATGGTTGGTGTTGGTGGTGGCATGGGCATCGGTGCCGGAAGGAAACGCAAGATAAGCGAGAGCAATAACTCGCAGAAAAATAAGGTGAGTAAGAGGAAGCAAAAGTGAGCAAAAAGTTGAGAGTAAAAGTAAACAAAAGGGTAGTAGATGAGCGGGTATGAGGAATATTTGTTTGGTTGTGTGCGCAGGTTAATGCATGTGGGAAAAGGAAAGGTGAGATCAATGGGCTTCGAGACTTTATATATTTTTTTTGCTCATACAAGTTGGATAAATGTGCATACATATGTATGTATGTGAGTGTTATGTCATTGAGATATTACCCCACGTCTCCACTTTCTACTAAATGTGTCTTAACATCTGTCAAATTTCTGTTTTAACTTTGTCCCGCTTTCTCATGTGGGCAGCTTGCTGTCTTAACATATCACTTTCAAAATGGCATCAAGCCATTCAGATCGATCTGTACCCAATGTAGATGGCGCGGTAAAATGAAAACTGAGTTGTCAAACTACCAAATGACAGCTGATGTTAAGACAGCGAGATGGTAAGAAGTTCGGCAAGACAGATATGGTTTAACAGTGGAAATTTGCGGCCTCCACCAGACATTTCTGTCTTAACACAGCTTTTTTAACAGAATCTATAGAAGGTGGGGAAGCGAAGTTAGCGTGATTGTAGCGTCAGATAATATTTTCCGTGCAACGCGGTAGGAGGCTTGATTAATTGTTTGTGATTTTGTTTACTTCGCATATTTAGCGTGTTTTTTGTTTTCGTCGCAGTTTGTTTGCGTCACCGTAGTGTTTTACAGGGTGCTTAAAAGCCTATTTTAAGAAAAATGCCAAAAATGGCTTACCAACTTATTTTTTTAAGCTCGATTTCGATTTGAATAGCCATGCCATTTTCATGGCTATGTTTAGCACAGCTTTTCTATTGTCTAACCTATCTATCTATTTTTAGAAATTCCATCGCGATGCCATGGACAAGATTGTCAGTCCGGTAGTACCGCAACCTGGCGCCTGGAAGCGACCACCACGCCTAGCCGCCACTGGCGCACGGAAACCCGCACGTCGTTCTACATCAATCAGCGAAACAGAGGTGATGAGTCCGGCAGACGAGGTAGTCAAACCGCTGCAGGTCGAAGGTAAGCAAATGAGTTCAAATTTGGCTCGAAACTCTTACTAATGAATGGCTATTCACCCACAGCCGACATGCTGCGCGTCGAAACGCCCGATTTCAGCAAGCTCGAAACCATTTCCGAAGCTGGTCTAGCTAGCCCGCTCAGCACCACTTCAGGTGCCACTTCAGTCGCTGCTGGCGAACAGGAATCGCTGATGGACACAAGTGCTGGTGATAATTCCACCACCACACCGAGTGAGGAGGGCCAAGCGGCGGCTGGTGCTGCGGCAAAGTGCAGCACAGCTGCCTCGACCACTTCCACTGCCATTGTGCAGCTTACAAAAATGCCACATTTCCGCGCTGATGGTGTTAAATACCAGTACGGCAACTACGATCGCTATGTGGGCCTGCGCCATCTCAACGAACTGGTGGACGTACGTCTGCAGGTGTTCCAGCGCCATTCGGAGCTCTTCCAGAATAAAGACATACTCGATATTGGTTGCAATGTGGGCCACATGACTATCACAGTAGCGCGTAAGTTTGCGCCTAAGTCTATATTGGGCATAGACATCGATCGAAAACTGGTGGCGCACGCGCGACACAATCTAGGACTGTACGTCCGCATACCTGTGGAGCAGGCGGTCAAGACAGCGCCAAACACGACAGCTAGCAAGACAACAGATGCGCCTGTAAGCGTGAAGAAAGAAGAAGATAAGGAAAAGGAGAAGGGGCCGGTAAAAGAAGAAAAAGTGATAGAAGGTAGCGAAATAAAAACGGAAACTGCCAGCACAAAAGACACTGCCAACGCCGCTGGCGGCAAACCTGCTGCCTCAACAGTCGCTGCCAGCACAAGTAAACCAAAAAAGACGCGTCGCCGCAAAAAGTCGAAAGTCGTAGCACAACAGCAGGCACAACACCAACATCATCATCATTTCCACCATCATCACCATCACATGCATCATCATCATCATCATCACAACCATTATCAACAGCAACACCAAGCATTGCATGTACCTGCCATTGATTTATTTCCTGTGTCATTTCCACTCACCTACGGTGGCATACCAACAGCCGCAGCACCCATCAACGCCAACACATCCGATGGTCATTCGCCCAGCGCTTCCACAAATACGCCTGGTCATGCAAGCAACGCAACACCAGCCAGCGGTGGCAGTGGGAGTGCACCGAATAAAAAGCGCAAAAATGATTTTCCACGGAATGTCTTCTTTCGTCATCAAAATTATGTGTTGGAAGATGAGGCGCAGCTGGCAAACGACACGCAGCAATATGATCTCATACTGTGCTTGTCGGTTACAAAGTGGATACATTTGAATTTCGGCGACGAAGGGCTGAAAATGGCCTTCAAGCGGATGTTCAATCAACTGCGACCCGGTGGAAAGTTGATATTGGAAGCACAAAATTGGGCGAGCTACAAGAAAAAGAAGAATTTAACGGTAAGGAGGGGAAGAGCATGTACTATGTTAAAAGAATATTGGGCTTCGTAGAGGTTGAAGACGGAAAAGGTTTATGCTCGAAAGCTCAAAATACGCCAGAGTCAACTTGTTTGTTTTTTAAAACGTTTCATAATTTATTACCATTAATAAATCTCTTATTTCTATTAACAGCCACAAATCTATAACAACTACCGCAACATTGAATTCTTCCCCAACAAATTTCACGAATATCTACTCAGCTCAGAGGTTGGTTTCAGTCACAGCTATACATTGGGCGTGCCACGGCACTTAAGCAAAGGCTTTTGTCGCCCCATACAGGTGAGTAATGGAGTGAAATTTCCATTCGCTTTTAATTTACAAGCATTTCAACTCATTCAATTCAATTTCCATCTATTTGCAGTTGTACGCCAAAGGCGACTATACACCGAATCATGTGCGGTGGAGTGACGCATACTATCCACAGACGCCTTTCGAAGCTTACCGCGGCATTTACGCCACTATGCCACCGCGACCCGCGGGCCTAGCATCGTACGCCATGTCATCGACACGCAGCCAGGCATATGATACACCACAGTACACAGGCGGCACCTCTGGCCCCTACAGTTGCCGTCAAACGCCCATGTACCAGCCCATGTACCAGCCCATCTACAATCCACTGGAGACCGACTCGTATTTACCCTCCTACGACATGGAATATCTAAACCACATGTACGTGTTCGCCTCACCCCTCTATCAGACCGTTTGGTCCCCACCCGCCAGTTTGCGCAACAGCTCCTCACACACACCTGTCTTTGGAAGCGTGCGCGATGCTGAATTGGATGGCGATGGCGGTGGCGGTGGTGGCAGTTATCATCGACATGTGTATCCGCCCAACGAAGACACATCCTCACCGAATGCAAATGCGGGCGGTGCATTCAGTTCGATACGCGATGCGGATACGGATGATTCGAATCAGTTGCCTGCCGGTCGCATGCAACATGTGTATGCAACGAATTGTGGTGAGAGTTCATCGTCGCCGCAGGTGCAACATCACAGTGATTCAGATGCATTAGTGGAGGAAGCGCTGCTGTTGGAGGATGAGCAGCATCACCACGTGGCGCAGGTGAATGCCGCTGGTGTTAGCAATGGCGAGTTGCAAGGTGGAAGTGGTGGTATTGGACAGGAAGGCAGTCAGCATTACTGTGATTTAAACGATGCTTAAGTTCGTGTGGTTTGTCTTTAAGTAACAGATTTGAGAAATGTGCGAGGAAATGTAGAAGTGTGTATTTTATTTTTTGATTGCGTATATTTATGTAGGCGAAAATATGCTGAGCTGAATGTGCATTAGATGGCAGCAAGCAAAAACTCTAAAGACGCTTATGAAAACCACTAGCAAGTAACTAGATTTAAAATAATGGAAGATTAGTGTGTGAGAAGGTAAAAATCAAAAAGTTGTAGCAGTGTTTTTGCTTTTTAATTTTTTTTTGTGATTGAAGAATAACAATTACATTTTCATTTATCGCAAGCGCAGGTGGCGACTGGAGTTTAAAATTGAATTCGCAAATCGCGGAGAACTTGGCGTTAATTTTGGAGAAACACTTTTATGAACCACTGAAAATATTCGAAAAAATATTGGCGCGTTTTCGGGAGTATTTATCACCGTTTAAAGGTACAAAAATTCGTCCCTCGAAGCCGCGTGCGCAGAAATTGTCTATTTTTACCTCGCTTCTATTAGCTTGGGATGTAACTATGTAATATTGATGCGCCTAAAAGATGCAGCGATTTCCATTCTGAAGTTACATACCTGATGACAGTACGAATGGGAAGTTATCTAATGAAACTATAATTTTATTAACATTTGACCTTTCAAAAATACGCTNTAACTATGTAATATTGATGCGCCTAAAAGATGCAGCGATTTCCATTCTGATGACAGTACGAATGGGAAGTTATCTAATGAAACTATAATTTTATTAACATTTGACCTTTTAAAAATACGCTTTTTTCGCACAATTTAACATTTGTCAAAAATTAAGTTTTGTTTCACAGTTATTTGCGAAAATAAGCGCAGACATATTCTGCTAAATTGGAAAAAACCTCGAAAAGCTTGTGGCTTTGGCAAAATTTGAATGAGAAATGTTTTCGCGCTTCGTTAAAGGGCCCAGTAGATTTCATATAATGAGAAGTTCAGTCACACCCATATGCGATGAATTCTATAATGCTGAGCGATCACATTCAGAGATTTTACGGCATCCGTGAAGTGACATTGCATTGTCGTATGTTTAAGAGCCATACCGAAATAAGCGTCTTGATATACACTGCAGTGGACAGAAAGCTGAAAAGATTCCTCTCGCTGATGTTCAATGAGAAAATTCCTCCGATTGCCTATTTAAGTTTGGAGCCGTCTTCAAGCATCAAGCTTAAGGTGAGCCCCCAGTATCTTAACAGCTTCTCGCATGAGTTTTAATCCTTGAATTTTGAATAACAAATAATAAAATTAGTTTTAAGTATTAAGCAGATGGGTTATTTGATCTATTATGTTAGTGCCCTTTTACTATAAATTTTTGAAACTGCTTTCTAAAATATTTATTCAAAATTTAATAGGGTGCATTTGAAATTGTAATCTATGCCAAAAACAGAATGATGAAACTTTAACTTTTTTCTTGACAGTCTTCTTTAAAACTTCTGACTTATCGGTCTATCGAAATGGTTCGCAATTGCAGTATCGTTTTCGTATCATAAAGACGTGATACCTCGGTGGAAAATCGCTTCACGCCAGTTGATAAAAGTTCGAAGAAATATCGATATCATCGGTACATACTTATACCTATGTATGTATGTATAAGAATCCCCCGCCGCATTATGGCTTGAAAACAGCTCGAGCATATGGCAATTATNCAGTTGATAAAAGTTCGAAGAAATATCGATATCATCGGTACATACTTATACCTATGTATGTATGTATAAGAATCCCCCGCCGCATTATGGCTTGAAAACAGCTCGAGCATATGGCAATTATTATTTTTGGGTCGTTTCTTGACTTTCAGTACACGACTCCAGCGGGGGTAGTTATTTTTATTTTTTTGCAAAATTATTCCGTAACCGATGTATGTATATGTATTCCCCATTACGAAAACAAAACGCTCATCACGCAACTTCAATTGTTCCATTGTCTGCTTTATGTTGTTGTAACAGCATACAAACTCCCTAAAGAGATTTTGAGGAGTGATGCTTGGGTCCATGTCCAGATATAAATCTGGGTCGTTCCGGTTACGTAGAACCGATTGACGTGGGAACGGTCTGCTTTATGCTACATTTCCTGCTTGCGTGGCGCTTTAAAACAATGTTAAGTTTTCCGAATTTTCTTTTTAGATCAGTGTGCGCACTACTTTTAAGCTANTTCAATTGTTCCATTGTCTGCTTTATGTTGTTGTAACAGCATACAAACTCCCTAAAGAGATTTTGAGGAGTGATGCTTGGGTCCATGTCCAGATATAAATCTGGGTCGTTCCGGTTACGTAGAACCGATTGACGTGGGAACGGTCTGCTTTATGCTACATTTCCTGCTTGCGTGGTGCTTTAAAACAATGTTAAGTTTTTCGAAGTTTCTTTTTAGATCGTGTGCGCACTACCTTTAAGCTCTAATAGCATTAATGATTGCGAGCAAAATACAAAAGGAACAAGTAATATATACAAATTTATTAAAATTAGTACTAACTAGTTTTAAAACAAAGAAAAATGTTTATTAGCGTTGAATTAAATTATTTAATATTTTTAAACTATACTATTTACATATGTACATTTCTGTAATTGTTTATTCGAATCGTTGTGGGCGCAGTATTCTCAAGCTAGTTGACAGAAAGTGTGTTGCTGTTTGTAGAAATTAAAAAAAAGAAAAATATTTTTGTTAAAATTTAATTTGTTTATTAAGAACACTCGTTTCCCAGTTGAAATTCGAAAATTCTCTAAAGATGAAAACAATGTTGAAATTTTATTTTATTTAATTAAGATTAAATACACCTAACCGCCAACAGCGCCAAACGAGAACTATATTATTGTTGTTAGCATTCAGATAACAACAAAATAAGAGCCAGGACACGCTAGCCAGCTACGCGCTTGACTGCATTCGATAATTATAAAAAAAAAAATATTGAATATTTTGTAGCATAAATATATAAAAGTACCATTAAACTTACGTAGTTATGTGTATGTATGTATATCTATCAATTATAGTAATAATTATTTATAAAAATATAAATAAATATTCGTACTTTTATTTTAAATGTATATTTTTTGCATATTTATATAACGCAAAGAAAGTAGTTAAGAAAATATCAAAACAAGAAATAATATAAAATACTTTCATATACGTAAAAATATTTAACAGGAACAGGAAAAAATTTTAAACAAAGAAATACATAAAAAAAAAATATTTGCCAATCACCAACAAGCAGGTGAAGCGCCCAATACACAAAGCCACGCCACTTTTGTAACATTTAGTCAGCGTGAACTTTTTACAGTTAAGTTTTTTCTCAAACTCTGAGTAGCTCAAGTTAAACTTGCAGTGAAAAAATTTAACTGTTCAAAACGCCCTTTCTGCGGAACGTCGCACAGTTTTTCGGCTATATGGCAGCAGGTCGAAAGAATAGTTAGCGTGTACCGATTTCAATTTTTCTTAGATGGGCTTATCATTTAGTTTGTACACTAGCTTTTATAAAAAAAACCCTAAATATAAAATATTCAATTGAAATTTTATCGCTTCCCCTCACAATACTTCAATGGTTATATTTTAAAATGGCATAGGTGTCAATATTCTCAATTCTCCCAATTTTTAAGGTGATTTTATCATTGTTCGAAAAACTCTTTTCGTGAAATTACGCGAAAATTAAAATCGAAAAATTAAGAAAATCGAAAATGACATATATCGGCAAAGTCGCGCCGGAAGATCCAATTATATGCTCGGAAGCTACATAACTCTCTACAACATGCTTCTAATTTCAAGACCTGATCAAGCGGTATTCACATATTATTTTTAACCGACTTCCAAAAAAGGAGGAGGTTATCAGTTCGTCGGAATCTTTTTTTTTATTTTTTTATTTTTTTTTATGTATGTTACCGCATAACTTTGGACCACGTCAACCGATAATTCTTTTTGCATCGGAAAGGTAGTGTCTCAGAGGTGGTCCCATACTAATCTGGTTAAGATCCGATCAGTGGATCATGAGATATATATATATTTTTTTTTTTATATGAGAGTTGAAGGCGGTTTTTTTTTTACTAAAAATTACTTGTTTTAATATTAATAATCTTTAGGATCTACATTTCCAAGTTTTTTTTTTTTTTTATAAAAAGAAAAATATGCCAATTAAATCATAAATACCTTCACGTGAATAATACATGAAAAAAGCACTTGATTTTATGGGCTCAGCGCCAAACGCAACCGAACTGATTAGTCGATATCGCGCCGATTCTAGTATTTCTTTGGAAATGTACAGTTCATATAACTTCCATATAGTCGAAACACTGTGTGTCGCAATTAAAGCGTTGCGCTTCTCTACGTTGCAGCCATGTAACAAACTTATGCGAACTTTAATTAGTTATGCGAAAAGTAACAAAAAAGAAATATTAATTAATTAATTATTCACACACTTCAATACTTGAATAACGGGCTAAGTAAACTTTAAAAAAGGAAAAGTAAAAAATAGTTATTTAACTTTAATTTACCGCCTACAACTGCTGCTGCTATTAAGTGTAGAGTACGTGTGTATGCGTGCATTGTGTGGTAGTGTTTTTGCAGATTGTGTTTTCATTTCGTTATTCTAATTAAAAAAAAAAACAACCTTACCATACATATTTCATCTAAAGTAGTGCATAATTATTTATAATAAAAATGTTGTAAATCAAATGAAATCAAACTTCATTAAAAAAACATAATAAGAAATGAATTAATGAAATATTTAATATGAATATTAAAATATTAATATATAATAATTTTAAATATTAAAAATATTTTATGCATATACAATACTTACATACATACATACAATTATAAAATGAATTTAAATAACCATTATGAAGATTATAAATAAATTTCAAATGTAATAATATGTAATAATGAAATGAGAAAGAATATTAATAAAAAATAAAAAGTGAATTTTCGAATAAAAAAAATTTGGATGGTCAAGTCTTATACAGCCAGGCGAGTTTGGTTGAAATTCACCCGGAAGGGAATCGTAGCACCTGCCTGATAAAAAAAAAAAAAAATAGAAGTAGGTTGTTACAAAGCAAGTTCCATTGCATTAAAGCTTTGCATTCGAAATTTTAGCAAAAAAAAAATCCACTAATATAATAATAACCACCATATAACCTACCCAAACATGTTTCCATAAAACCAAAACTTTGGCTATATAATTGGTCGACTAATGGCGTTTCTGCCGAAGGGAAGATTCACTCAACTTATGGTTTATTTCGACCAAGCATCAGTCAGGTTCTGTAGCTCACTTCCGAGTGAATTCCAACCAAAGCCACTTGGAATTCATATTGAAAGGGGTTGAAATTCACGCGGAAGTGAATTGCAGAACCTGCTTGTATGCCTATTGGCAAAAGGAGATTACAATAAGGCCAAAAATAAGAAATATGAAATTAACCTTCCTAGTCATCCCGTACTAAAGTTCTTGGAACTTACCTGAGCTCTTAACTGCAGTTAAGCGTTTGGTAGTAATAGGCTAAAGTTTATTTTAGCTTTGTTTCGACCGATTCGAAATAGCAAGTTTCATTGGGCTAGCGCTAGTTGAACTTGAAGACAATGCTTAACAGATTGGCTAACCTAGACTAGGCTAACTAGCCGTTGCTGCAATGATGCTTAATTGGTTTACTTTTGGTTGTTTTGTGCTTCCGACAGGGTAGGGATATGATGTACATCGGAGCGAAATTCAATAAGCTTCACTAATATAAAAGTTAATTATTAGATCGGTTGATATGGAATTGAGTGGGCGTTCTTTTTCAGATCTCAAAAAATCGGGCTGTGTGTATGTAAACAGGTGCTCCTCTTTTTTTGTATTTTGACTTTATATTCGGATTTAGCAAACAAATTTACTTTAGAAAGGATGATCAAATGATACAGGTCAATTTTCGTGTAAACTAGTGTAATTTATAAAGCAGAAGCTATAACTCTGAAGCCGCTGGTTGTAGCAAAGGAAAAGGGAGACCTCCTCTGTGGTGGAAAGACCAATTGGAGAAGAACTTGGCTGAACTTGGAATTTCCATTAGGCTTATATTGGATCAGAAGAGCAACGACGAACGTATGCCTTTTATAATTAAATTTTTGTATATTTTTATTTATTTTTGTTTTTATTCGATTTTAATTATATTTATTTTTATATTTTCAGGACAAAATTTGTGTTTAAATTTAAGAAAACGGCCCCCATACGAGTATAATTTAGTTTTATTTTGTTATTTTATTTTATTTTATTTCCCATGTTTTCTACTTTGCTTTACTTTGATTATTTTGTTTTTAATTGCTTTTATTATTTTAGGATTTATTTTTGCGTGATTTCTATCCAAATTATGAAGGCGTCACCTAGTTTTGCGATTCGTATTTTTACCACTGTATTTTATCTAAAACGCAGATAAGGTGTGCCGCCAACGGCCTAATCAATTCTACACGGATTGTGATATGTAATTTATTTGCAATCTACGCAAGCATTCATGCGTTTGTTTTTTTATTCCAGGCTGTTAGTCTGATTTTGGCGACTGATTGGAAAAATACTGAAGCGGCAATTTATTAAAATTAAAATTATTAATTACATAATTGTGAGTGGAGTGAATACCAAACGCAACGCAATTAAATTCTGAGACTGAGTGAACCTTTGAGGATTGGTGAAATAAATACAGGCGGAATTTTCAAGGTTGGAAATTCGTTGGATCCCTAAATGTTTTTGATCAGCCATAAGAGGAAGGAAGGTAAGTTAGTATGATAATATGCAATTTAAATAGCGCCTTTTTAAGGTTTTCTGTCTCACCTCTGCAAACTCAATTTCATGCTGGCAATGCCGAATGCCTAACACCAACTACAATTGACGTTTACTTGCTGTCAAAAGCAAAGTGTGTAAAAGTATAACAGAGAAGTAAGCAACAGATATAAACAAAGTGGAAAATAATAATTACCTTCGTAATGACAACCGCCATTTGAGTTGACGAGCGTAGATAAAGTCATTAAAATACATTAGAAAACCTGATAAATGTGTGCGAGACGGAAAATAATAATAAATGATTTTTAGTAAAGTCAGCATTAATACATACATGCAATTAGGGCTGCAATTTTATTTTCTTGATTGCGTATATACATATGTACGTACATACGGACATTTGTATGTGCACAGGTACATATATATGTATCTAGCCGGTGGAAATGCCACAAAAGCTACGCGATAGTTATACTCTGAAGTGTTTATTTTGTTAAATTTTATAAGCGAATACAAAAATAAGCGAAAGTAAAAGTAAAAGAAATAAAAAATGTACAAAAATAACAAGTAATTTTTAAGCAAAAAACAAAACCGACTTCAATTCACATATAAAAATTTAAGAGTATCTTTAATTTTTTAATGATCCAATAATCGGATCTAAACCAAATTAGTAGAGTTATAGAAATCGATTAACGTGGTCCAAAGTTATGCAGAGTTGTGCAAAGTTATACAATAATTGCAGTTTTAAGTGAAATTTCTGCAATTTCGATGTCAGATTTTGCTGTCACGTATACATAGAAAATATAAAACAGGTTTATGGCAATGCGTTAAGTACTCTACTCATCTGCAACATCTTTAGCTAGCATAGTCAGCTGATGAGTTAAACAAAATAATAATTTTTGTATTATTTTTACTGCGATAGCTCAACAAAATGCTAGTCAAAAAGTGTTAGTCGAAAATTATGCCCATATTTGCATGTTTAAATGTACAACACATACATACATACATACATACTTACATACATACATACTGTACACATTTGTACATACATCTATGACGTATAAATATTAGGCCACCCAAAATACACATACAGGGGAAAATCAACTTATTGGGATTTTCTTGCTGCCACCGTCCATAATTATAGAAACTGAAAAATATTTTTTTTAAGTTTTCCTTATAAGTATTTTATATGAAGAAAATAAACTTTTTTCACAGGATTGCTATAAAATAGTTA